TATTGATGGGTCTAATTTTGAGCAAAACTCTCAACTATCACAGGAATTACATATTATATCGCCAAATCGATCACGAAATGCGTCTTTTTGTATTAATATATGCAGTATGCAAATATGTATCCAGATAGTGATGTATATGTTTTATGTATATAAAATGGCCCAAAAACGCTAATTCATCAATTTCAGTACAACATGTTTGATGTTTCTATATTTTATAATTTGAAATACATAAGTTTGGAGCTCTCACTTAATCAGACAAAATATAAAGCTTCTACCCTTTTATATAGTTTTGGCTTTTAGCATAAGATCAAAAGAGAGATAAGTTTTCAGAAAGAATTGTTCATACGATAAAAAAAAAATTAAAGTGGAAATCGGATGTTAATTTGGTAAACAAGAAATTTAAGGGTTGATCCTGATATTATAAACTGAGCAAGATGTAATTTTGTTAGTTCGGGTACTATCTATCGTACGATTAATAATCGCGGAATACTAAAGTGAAAGCTTTTTTGTTTTTCAAGTGACTGAGATTACAAATCAGATGACGCAACAAAATATATTTTAATCGGAAATACAAATCATTGACTTATTTTATAAAAAATATTAAGTACAGAGTAATATTCCTTTGATCGACATTTATTCAAGAATTCGTAGAATTAATTGGAACCCACTAATTCCTCAGGTGCCACGTAGGCTTTATCTTAAAACTAGTTATTGATACTACTTACGTTAACTTAAAATATTTATAGCTATATTATCCCAAAAATGTCTCTAAATTAAATTCCAGGTGTATAAACGTATTATAAAAAAATGTTTTATAATTTCTCCAAAAAAAAATGTTAAGACATGTAGCACATAGTGATTTGTATTGATAGAGTGCATGTATCACCACTCGGATTTAAATTTAATACTTATAATAGTATTAATTCTGTTGATAAAAAGTAATTTTTATTTATAAATAGTTTGTAGTTAATAACTGATGAAAGAAACTTAGTTTATACTTTATATGCAATAAATTTGGAAAACAAATTAATCTTTAATGATATCAGATGAGATCATTATTTTTAAATTTGTTCACATCATTATATTCTTACAATATTTAGTTGCAGAATATATAAAGAAATTGTAACTACATGTCTAGTAATGTATATAATTTCAGTATCAAGAGATAAATACTAACTTGTCATTGGCCGGTCACACGTTACCAATCGTGTAAAGCTACTTGTAAATAATTTCAGTAAATTATAGTATGCAACCTGACGAAATAAAACAAGTAATTGAAAATTTTAGTTAAAAATAAAAATAAAAACAACCTTACGAAATAACAATTTCAAAACCAAGAAATGAAAGGACACATATAGTATAATTAATTCCTAGGTTCGGCATCTCAACAATAGAATAAATTCAATTTTAAATAAAATAAAATCTTTGCAAGATCTTCTTCTATTGACGTATGTCAAAGAGTTTTACAAAGTCAATGATGTTAGATTATTAAACTGGAAGTTGACAAATTCTAAAACTGCTTTGTTTGTTTAGTTTTACTAATCACCTAATTCTCTCGAATCCTGAAAAATGTACTGTTCAGTTTTTGAATTCTATGATATCATTCATCCATGATTTATACACATATTCGAACCTTAATGTATGCGAGCACCAATCACTCTAAGACGTTATTCTATGTGTGCTATTCAACTTTTCTTTTGAGATCAATAAAGTATATCGAAATGTTATTACAGCTTGCAATCGAGCAATCACCTAATTTGGAATTAGACACTTGACTCCAATCGTTAAAGTGAGTATCCATTCATCGGCTTTGGGAATTGAATTTTCCTCTAGTTCTATAATTGGCGTTCCGAGCCAAAGTCCAAATTAATCTTACAAATATATAGAAGGTCCAAATACTTTTAATTGTTTAATGTGTCTACAATTGTCCGTACAGTGTTACTTTTTCAATATGCTTGAATAAAATTTAACCACTTAACAGGAATTCACATGCACAAGACAAAAACTTTTGGACATAAATGGCCACAAATACAATGAAGATTACACACACACACACACAACGTCCGGTGCAATGAAGATTATATAGGAGATTCACATATATTTTATGCTCTCACATTAAAAAAAAAAATCGACTTTGTGCCCTCGCATCGACAGTAGCGGACGCAGGTAAGGCTAAGATGTGGCATGTGGTTTTCCTTCAACTAATTAGCATATAACTTATATAAGTGTCTTTACACTAAATAAACTTTTGGATCCTATGAATCAAAATTTGTGTTTATTTGAAATTTGGATTGTAATGTGATCATTCGCCATATTCATTCCAAATTTAGTAACGAGGCAGTCTTCGAAAATTTAACCGCATCAGCATGAGAAGTATTCGATATTCTTCTCTTGAGTCATGAACCATGCTCCTCAACTTATTAATTACTATGTTGTTAACAATAAACATATAAGTTCACATAAAATAAACAATTAAATGCGTCTACTTGTATTGTACGTATAAATAGTTTAGTAGTATAGGTTTTATTTTTAAATTTATTTATTTATGGATAATGTGAAACCGACGCATTTGCTCGTTGATTTATTCATAAGCCAGAAGTGAGTAGAATGATTATTCAATAGTGGGTTTCCTATGGACCAATAATAAGAAAACAATTTAATTAGGTATCTAATGATGCTTCAGTCCACTTTATTCATTAAATTATTGAGAAAGAGCGAAAATACGAAATAATATATTTGTTTCTGTTTTATGTCTGTTTTACATAATTTATGTAAATTATGTAAATTCGCTCTTTCTCAATAAATAATTTAATAGTCAAGTTGGGAATTTATAGGTATAAAATAGAAAGAAATAATTTTGGAGAGAAAAAGTGAAAAACAATTTTCAAAGAGAAGCCAAAAAATTAGAACAGGAAATCTAGATAACATCTGGAATTTCACTTATCGAAATTTTCTTTTCAAACTCTTAATAAATTTGGATAAGGAACAATTTTAAGACAGGTGTTTTGGAAAAATTCTGAAAATTTTGTTTTTTTTTTTTTTGAAAAATGATATAATTTTTTGATTTTAAAAATTTAAACAAGTAATTCAGATATTTTACATTATATATGTTCGCTTTCTGTAACTGTCTCAATAAAATAAATGATATTAAATAGGTAATACTGAACAAAATTGTGATACGATAAAGAATTTAAAACGGATACATATGAGAAAGTATAATAAATATAACTTTCATAACAGACTACTCCAGAATTTAAAACGGATACATATTTATTATACATAATACAAAATATATAAAATGATCAAGTATAATAAATATAACTTTCATAACAGACTACTCCATATCATCTTGATACAAAACTATCATAGACTTGAAAAAAGATCCAACTTTTTCCCATAATCGTTTATTACCAATCAAAAAATAAAATCACTGGAGATGTATTATATTGTTTTGGTCCAAATTTAAGTACTTCACTTGAGCCATCATTTCTCATGCTATTTAGTATATTTTATAATTTCATATGAATATTCTGAGATTTTTATGTTTAATATCTTATATATTTTATAGGTGTTGATTGATTTTCTATTCTCATTTTTAAATCTAAACCTTTTGTAACATATATGAATAATTAAGAAACTAACTTTTTAAAAATTATATTTATAAGAATTTTTTTTTATGAAACCCGAAACTAAAATAAAGTTGATACTTTTTTCCATGATTCCAAAAATAAAAATATCTCAAACAACATATTTATATATTTTTTATTTAAATACATAATTTCATAGTTAGATTTAAATATACGACATGAAATCTTATAAGTTGCTTAGAGCACCTCTATCCATTAGGAGGTTCTTACACTATATCTAAGAGTAAAAAAAAATAAAAAAAAAATTTAAAATATAGGAAAGAGAAGGAAATCAGGTTCTTAATTAAGAACTTTAAAAAACGTTTCTGATCATTTGTCATAATTTTATTGATTTAGTTTTTTTCTAAAGTTAAAAAATAATCATTTAAATTATTTAAAATTAGTTACTAATAATTTAATGGTTAGATACCCAAAAAAGTATGTAACCGATGAGGATGCTGATACATCTTTCAATTTGCTTCTCGTTTCTACTTTTGAAGATTGCTCTGGAGCAGAACGTGACACATCTTCCTCTAATCTTAACGTATAAATGGTAAACATGTATTATTATTATTATTATATACTGGCTTCGCTTTTGTTTCAGCTATGTTGTAATACTAGTCTAATATGATTAAGGGATATTGCACCAAACAATTATTCGATAGAGATGATAAAGTAATCATAGAGTAGTTCGACCGAAAATACAAGTCCAAAACCCTGGAACCTAGAGCCGAGCACCTCAAGATATAGATGATGAAGAACATATACAGATGTGCAATCTATATTAATTATCATATTATTACATATTGATTGAAGATATATGTTTTATATATATATATAAAATTACCATATCTTTTAACTACTAGGTAAACATTTGGAAGAATGTCAAATCTGTCAAACGATCCACTCATAATATTCTACAACGTACATCAGTTTTCTTATTTTCTGTATATTTTTATTTCTCATTTAGTTATTTATCTTATACTTATACTGTTATACATTTACAAAATAGTATTATAATTGGCTAATGTAACAACATTATAAGTAGATAATAATAATTTTTGTCACACAAATTTTTGATAATTCAAGCTCGGATTTAGTAGTAAAAATTCGTATTCGAATTCATGTTTAGATTTGCAGAAGTAACAACAATATTAAAGTGCTTTGAACATTTCAAACTAACTTTTATTCTAACCAAATAGAGAAAAACAGATAGAGCGACCCCACAAACCAAGATTCCAAACCAACATTCCCATCCCATCATTGACAGCAAAATGATATTAATTCATAAAAATATATCTTTATATTTGATTTATATACTACTCTGTATAGTATATACTCTATGTTTGTTTTTCTTCTTCGTCATCTTAGAACCTTTGCTGTGTATATATAATTAGCCCTCACGCATGCTTCATCTGTTGCTACCAAATAACAAACCAAACAAAAGAAATAATTTTTTTCTTTTTTCTATTCCAATTTTTTTCATGGAGAGTTCAATGAACAATGCTTTCATTATGAGCAAGCATGAAACGACGACGTTTTCAAGCGACCAAACTCCGGAGGAAAGTAGCTGGACGATGTACTTCGAAGATTTCTTCGAGGCTTCTTCAAGTGTTGTTGATGTCGGAGATTGCAGCTATTCCTCCGTCTCCGATGCAATGTCTTTCGTGGCAACTAAGAAGACCCTCCACGTGTCTAATCAAGAAGAGTTTAATTCTTCTAACAAATTCGACATCAAGAGGACAAACAATAGAGAGATTCCTTTTGGTCGTCATTATGATCTTGAAGACACTGCCTCTTCTCCTTCTCGTAGCCCTAACGTAAGAGTCTCTCTCTCTCTCTCTCTCTCTCTCTCTCTCTCTCTCTCTCTCTCTCTCTCTCTCTCTCTCTCTCTCTCTAAATAATTGAGCCTGTGTGAGTCTATGTATGTATTTGTTATACAAATATAATGATAATTTAGTGGTTATCATCGTGTTGGTAAAAAACAATGATCGATTTCTGCTATACAAATTGTTCGGGGAAAAGAATATGACTTCATATTGTTGGAAAATTCAAGAAATTAATTAGGAATTATTTTTTTCTAAAGCATTATCATCTAACTTTCAGATATTTTCCTTCTTTATTTTGGTCATATTATTTATCTAAGAACTTTACTATGGACAATGGATTCTTTCCTCTTGATTTTAGACAAACAGTCGAGTTTGGTAAGATTAAAGTAGTCATGGTACTAATATTTATAATCTATATTAGTCATACGCTAGTTTTATATTTATAGAACATTGGATCGATAAGGTTAGACGCAAATGAGAGGCAATAAATATATATATATATATATATATGGGTTTGACTCATAAACTAAAATATATTTTAAAAATAATAAACCCAACAACTTGATGCTACGATGAACGATCCGTGCCAATTCTTTAAGTTCCTATTTGACATAGATGAATACAATAATATATCAGAATGAACAAGTCAAATGTCCTTAACTAATGGTCCCTTAATTAATTTGGTCCACAAATAATTAAAGTGTATCAACTATTAACAATTTGTGATTTTTCCCCGTGTTATAGGTCTACAGCATGATGAACCTATTGGACAATAACACGAGACACGGGAATGGCGTTGTTGGTGTAGACACAAATAATGTAAGAAACATATTTACTATACTTTAACTTCGTATACTTTAATAACGTTAGAATTGATCAATCATATTATATAGGATACGAATTATTTTCGATATCTGACCATAAACGCGTCATACGGTCATTTTAGGTGAAAGGAGAGCGTGCAGTGCAAAACCAAGGTGGGTTATCAGTAGACTTGAAGAAAAAAGGGCTTTGTTTGGTTCCTATGTCTATGGTCACCAACTTTCTTGGTTGATTTTACATAAATCCTTATTCATTTTTTTAAAAAAAAAATTGTGAAAATAAGCTTCTTCGCTCTATAATATTATTGGTTTGTAGATATTTTCCAATCATGTGTAACATGTGTTATTCACTCAATTGTTAATATGCATACATATTATTGCATGTTAGTTGTATGGACGACACTCCTTATTTTATCGGAATATATTTATTTTCAATATTGAACTATAATCCGTCATACCATAATTTTAGAAAACTCTCAAATATTTTTGTGAGCTATGACAACAGATCGGTTGATCAGATGCACAGTTGTTTTTTGGGGGTAAAAAAACACTAATCCGATGTATACAAAAGAGTGTCAAATTCGTGAGGTTTACTTTACAAGACAAACATGTTTATCACCTCCATAATTTAGTGACCAGAAAATTTAAGTTTTTTCCTCTCGATTCCGATGTATACAAAAGAACACAAACCATGAATCACACATCTTTCTACACATGGAATTGTGTTCCAATGAACAAACTCATACTAGATTAGAAGGGATCGAAACCAAACTGTTAATTATTTCTTCCTGAATTACAATTCTAAGATCTAATTAACTAGTAAAGAGTATTATTGGTGCATTTATACTCATACTCATAAAGACATATTGTGCAAAACTAACAAAATTTTAAGTTGGTGGTGGAATGACTGGCTTTTGCACCACATTTAGAGGAATTCGAGCGAAGCAGGAAGGAGTTCGTCCGTTTCTCGATTCAACAGATTCCACGCGCACAGAACTAGAAGGCAAACAAGTTAGCACGGAGTGTTCGAGAAAACCTTCATCAACTATTTTATGTAAACTCAACTCTACCGAACTGGCTCATTGAGCCTTTTTAAGAGTACTAGGTATATAACTCGTGCTACACGCGAGTTTGTATTAATAGTTTGGTTTAACTTTTTTTAGTTACTATCTTTAAATTTACTAAAAATATAATATATTTATAGAAATTTTTATTTATATAAGAGAATTTATTATATACTATGTAATTTTCTCCTATTTTTTATAAATTTAAAAAACTATTAGGTAAATATTAACAATGACACCTATCGAATTATCCAACTTTGACGTAAATATACATTTGATTTAGAGAAAGATTTTTTTGCAAAGATTTTGTTATTATTTTCTATTTTCCTAAGATTTTCTATAGTTCTTTTTTCTTGAAGGTTTATGTATTCAAATATTTAGTTTTTTTATTGAAAGTCTTATTGATGTTGTGTACCACTGCATATATGATCCATGATTCATGTTGATTCACATTTAATTTTGTCAGGAAGCTGTAATGATCATGTAAAACCATTTTTTCCTTCTCCAACATGTCTTCCAAGAGTTTTATATTATATTTTTATTTAGTTTTCATTGATATCTATTTTTTACAGTCTAATATTTGATAATTTTAGTTTTCTAACTTGTAGGATCGATGGTGTGGAGTATTTGCATTATTTTTTTACTGTTTTTATATTTTTGTGTGCAATATGCATGTTTTGATTTGAATATTTCATCTATATATAGCAATTTGAGTATGTTTTTGAAAGATACTATATTTCATTTTTTTAACATTATTTTCTTTTCTAATTGTTACTTGAAGCTTTTTATTTTAATTTGTTCATCTGTAAAACGAAATTAATGTTTTAAAAAATTAGAAATTAATGTTTTTAATCATACTTAACATTTTTTGATTTAATAAAAATGCTGATGTGGACCAATCAAATTGAGTTTTTTAAGAAATTTTTTTAATCTATATTATAGGTTTTAGTTTTTACCTTATTGGTTTTTTTGTTAGTTTAACTCTTTTGATATTAAATTTTCATTTAATTTTGAAATATACTATATTTTTTTAACATTATTTTTTTCAATTTGTTACTTAATATTTTTATTTTAATTTGTTCATATATAAAACGAAATTAATGTTTTAAAAAAATTAGAAATTAAATTTTTAATATTTTAATCATACCTAACATTTTTTTATTTAATGAGTTTATATTAATCATTTTTCTAATCTATATTATAAGTTTTAGTTTTTACCTTATTGGTTTTTTTGTTAGTTTAGCTTTTTTGACATTAAATTTCCATTTAGTTTTGAAAGATATTATATTTTGTTTTTTTTAACATTATTTTCTTTTCTATTTGTTACTTAAAATTTTTATTTTAACTCTTTCATCTATAAAACGAAATTAATATTTAAAAAAATAAAATTAATGTTTTAATGTTTTAATAATACTTAACATTTTTTTTATTTAATGAAAACGCTGATGTGGACCAATTATATTGAGTTTCTAAGAAATTTTCTTAATCTATATTATAAGTTTTGGCTTTTACCTTATTGATTTTTTTGTTAGTTTAACTATTTTAATATTACATTTCCATTTAATTTTGAAAAATATTATATTTGTTTTTTTAACATTATTTTCTTTTCTTTTTGTTACTTAATTTTTTTATTTTAATTTTTTCATATATAAAACGAAATTAATGTCTTAAAAATTAAAAATTAATGTTTTAATATTTTAATCATACTTAATATTTTTTTATTTAATAAATATGCTGATATGGACCAATCATATCGAGTTTCTTCGTCATATGTGGACGTCCTCAATGCATAAAAAAAAACAAAATTACAAGTTTTTTAAAAGAATAAAAAATTAATTATCATTATAATTGGATATTAAATATGACCAAATTCTCTTACAAATTAACACTTTGTTAGTTTTGAATTGTAAGATTACGATGATAATTAATTTCTCTTATGATGATAATCAATTTCTCTTGCAAGATATGATGATAATTAATTTCTCTTACAAAGTTTTAAAAATAGATTATCATCATAATTTCAGAATTTCATTTTCTCTTACAAAAACTGAAGATGTTTCACAATAAATTAATTGATGTTTATTACATAAATTAATTTTTCTCTCATTCAAAGTATCATCATAATTGTATATTAAATATGACCAAATTCATATATTGCAGAATATTTTTCTAAATTTTGTATATATTTTAATATAATAAAATTATTTTATAATATAAATGAGTATTATATTTATTTTTTATTAGCTTAAGTTATATATTTATGTTTTAATTTGAATAAACATTGTATATCTTTAATTTTTTTATTTTTAGAAATTATATTTTTCTGTTAAATTTGTTTAGCTAACTAATTATATATATGTAAGAATAAAGCAATATATTTTTAGTACTTTCATGCTAATGGCAAATGTAATATATTTTTTCCAATAAATTGCCACTTGATCCTCCTTTGTAATTATATAAAGCAAAATGCCATTTTTAAAAAATATTTATTAATTAATATAATTATCTTGAATTATAAATTTATTTATCAAATATTTATTATAAATATATGTTTCCAAAACTACCAAACTATAATTAATAACATTCATATCAAAGCCATTGTTATTGCTTTAGAACTAAGTAAAAAATTCTATTTGAATTGTTGAAATATCGTTTTAGTTGAAGTTAAATAATTAAAGTTTGGTTACTGTAAACATACTTTAACTTGAAAATATAGCACATAGATTTTCATCTGCTTACAAAAATTGAAAATCGCATTTCCCATCAAAACCAAAAAATTTCATTTTCCCATGAAATTGAGAAAGCGCTTATTCCCGCTAAAACCAAAAAATTCATTTTCTACTTAAACTTAAAACCTAAAATTTCATTTTTCCGCGAGAATCTGCGTTTTCTCGCCAAAACCGAAAAAATCACGTTTTTTCATCAATACCAAAAATTTTCATCTTCCTGCAAAAACCGAGAAACCTTATATTCTCGCCAAAACAAAAAAAAATTATTTTCTCGTCAAACCAATAATCACGCTTTCCTATCAAAACAAATAAACTACAATTTTCTGCGAAAACCAAAAATTGAATTATCTTCCGAGAAATTGTGTTTTTCTGTAAAAACTAAGAAATTGTATTTTTCAGCGAAAACAAAAAAATTACATTATTCATCAAAAACTGAAAATTTTCATTTTCCATATAAACCAGGAAATTGTTTATTCCTGCCAAAAAGATTTTTTTTATTTGTTGTTATTTATTATTTGAGTTTAAGTTTAGCAAAAAATAAAATTAATTAATATTTTTATTTATTTATTGTTATTAATTATTTGGGCTTGAGTTTGGTAAAAAATAAAACAAAGATTAATAGAAAAATTATGTGGATTTTTAATGGATTTAAATTTAAAAACTAAAATAAGTAGATTAGTTGTATTAATAAAATGTTTTGAATGGTGAATATTTTTGTTGAGATGTCATCTTCAGAAAGCTCAAAAATGCTGATGTGTCATCTCTAAGAAAGATATTGGTGTTATTGTTGTGTTGATGTAGTCTTACCAAACAAATCTATCATCTTCCTTTATATACAATTCTTAATTTTCTATCCAATTAACATTAACAATATTTATTTATATATTGGTAATCATATTATTGAATTATTTCATAGTTAATTTTGTATGTACTATTGTCAATACATTATTTAATTATTAAATCTATATAAATAATTAATTATTAAAAATATATTTTGTTAAGTTGATACTTTATTGATATTTATTTGCATTTTGTTTCTATATTTTATTAATTAAAAGTTTTCAAGATGGATAAGTTTTTACGAACAATTAAAAAAGTATGGGCTAAATAAGTTTTTTTATTTTATTTAAAAAGACTATAATAGAAGGAAATATTTATAAGTAATATATATGATTAATTACAGGATTCGAAATTGAAAAGCATATAATTTTAACAATGCATGCTTAAGGTATGCAGATTAAAAGAATATATCTGTTTGAAGAACTGCTATTAAATAGTTTCTTTACATGTGTAAAGGAAAATCTCCTTAGACTCTATATATTACCATTTCTTTGCAGGTAAAAGCAAAAAAAAAAACTACTAAGGAGATTTTCCATTATTCTCTAGTGTCTAAGTTTTCCATATTTCGAACTTAATTAGTTAGTTATATATATAAAGCCTCTTTAATTCTTTTAGGTTAAATCAACTTCTCTTCAGATTTCAATACCAAAAAAAAACTAATACTTCGAAAGGGAGAAGGATGCATGGCTTGGGGCTTCTGGCGGTTATAGCTGTCTTGAGCTTGTTATTAATCTTAGCAGCTTTCGCATTATATGTAGTTATTCTAGCATATTGCTGCAAAAACGACGACGA